TTTTTTTCATTCTAAAGATTTTTTTTGGGGTTTAAAATGAGACTTGACTAGTTCAAATCGCATCATCTGATCGGGAGATATCGAAGATTGCAGACTGACGGTTTTTCATGCGCTGAAGAGAGATGTCAAGGTCACGGAATATTCTGCATTTATTTTATAAAATTGGGCTTTTTCCATTTTCCTCCGCAAGATACTCCTCTCGTGGAACGCATACTTATCAGACAAAAGTATTTTTTTCTCTCACTCTGTGTTCACTTGATCCCTTTACATTTAAAGTAATTTTTTTCCTCCGTTTCTCCATTGCTTACGGAATAATAAATGCTTAATACACGTCATACGTTCACGTCACACATTGTACATATTCTCGATGATCGTGAAAAGCACTCTGACACGTATGCACATGCATAACTGTGAGAGCAGGCCACTAGGAAATTGATTACGCAATTTGTCGATAGTCGTACCCAGGGCCGGCTATAATCGACATTCTTTGACGAGCAACAGGGGCCCCCCCTATTTGCAATGGAAAAATCATCCTCGGTTTTGCGAGTGTTGGCAGTGATGAGGATGAGGAAATTTGTCTTGTCAGAAGCACTCCTGATCCAAAAGTTTAAATTAAACTTGAACGGAATAAAATAACTCGGGTGATGGCGATTTGCGGACGGTTTTTCATCGTTTAAAAACGAAACATTAATTTTATTCAGAGAATTTCATTTGAACCAACTATCATTTGGTTGTTAATTTTCAAATAAACATGAGTTCATAGTGAATACCAGTTATCTCTTCTTGAGATACATTTGATTGGGAGAAATCGAACTTCTCTAGAATTGAAGTTCCTTTTGTCTGTCGCAATAATGAGAGTATTTGATTTCTTTCTAGCCGAAAGTTTGCCAACTCCAGAAATTCGTTGGCTTACTCAAAAATCAAAATTATTCTCATGACTAAATAGTTGTTATCGCAATCAACACGATCGTACGTTGTTCCAAGTAAATTATAATTGAAGTGAGCATTTCGTATGTCGAATCAGGATGAATATTGTTACGCGGAAAAAGCTTTGAGATTGTAGTAAGATGTCGTTGAGTTGAAAGAAGTTTATATTTCTGGACTAAAAAAATCGCATTAGTTTACAATAACAGAATCACAGATTACGGCAATTCAACACAAACTTGGATATCACAAATTTCGTTCGATGTGATGTACGGAAAGCTCAATTTAAACATCGGCTTCATTCGGGAAAACAACATTCAATTCATTCCTCAATGTAATCATCTCCTGAGTACGAATTTTTGATCAATTCATGAAAGCGGAAAATTTGTCGACTAGAGATTATATTAGGTTAAAGAAAATAGAAATTTTCCATTTTTGTGGTGAATACATCTGATTCGACGCCGAGGACTGCTTTATTTGATTCAAGGAAATGTATCTCAAGAAGAAATAATTGATATTCACCGTAAGATATTATTTATTTCAAATTGGTCAAGTGTATAATATGTGATACAAGAGAGCAACATCTCAATAAAAATAATTCATGGACCGTTTCAGGGGGCAAAAGGAAGATGATACTAATGAAAAAAAAATTTGTTCTGGAAATTAGATAATATTTCTGAAGAGAAAACTTGAGCTTGAAAGAAGGAAAATATGTTATTGCTTTCCTTCAAACTCATTGCGATTGATAGCAAGTGAGTTATATTTTCGAAATATCTGAAGCTTCTCTCCTGCACAAATTCTGTATTCATTCAATACGAAAGTCTCTGATCCACGATTCACTGAATCGAAACTTTCAGTAATTTCAGTAATTCTCTCATCACTCGACACGAATTAAAGTGATTAATCCTGTAGCTTCCAAAAAAAAATTGCTAAATTTTTTTTTTGCTGTTGTCACCATTCACCTCACCTCCCAAAATAGTATAAAAAATTTTCTGAAGCCCTGAAAAATCGAGACTCGGCTGAAACTCGAAAAGCCTCTCCTAAAAAAAAAACCCAAACAATTTTCGCCGATATTCAAAGTTCCCCATTCCAAAGCTTTCCTTCAAACTCATTGCGATTGATAGCAAGTGAGTTATATTTTCGAGATATCTGAAGCTTCTCTCCTGCACAAATTCTGTATTCAATACGAGAGTCTCTGATCCACGATTCACTGAATCGAAACTTTCAGTAATTTCAGTAATTCTCTCATCACTCGACACGAATTAAAGTGATTAATCCTGTAGCTTCCAAAAAAAAATTGCTAAATTTTTTTTTTGCTGTTGTCACCATTCACCTCACCTCCCAAAATAGTATAAAAAATTTTCTGAAGCCCTGAAAAATCGAGACTCGGCTGAAACTCGAAAAGCCTCTCCTAAAAAAAAAACCCAAACAATTTTCGCCGATATTCAAAGTTCCCCATTCCAAAGCTTTCCTTCAAACTCATTGCGATTGATAGCAAGTGAGTTATATTTTCGAGATATCTGAAGCTTCTCTCCTGCACAAATTCTGTATTCATTCAATACGAAAGTCTCTGATCCACGATTCACTGAATCGAAACTTTCAGTAATTTCAGTAATTCTCTCATCACTCGACACGAATTAAAGTGATTAATCCTGTAGCTTCCAAAAACAAATTGCTAAATTTTTTTTTTGCTGTTGTCACCATTCACCTCACCTCCCGAAATAATATAAAAAAGTTTCTGAAGCCCTGAAAAATCGAGACTCGGCTGAAACTCGAAAAACCTCTCCTAAAAAAAAAACCCAAACAATTCCCTCCGATATTCAAGGTTCCCCATTCCAAAGCCCTCTCCATCAACCTGCAATAATTGATGTTGCGCGCGTGAAGTAGCTCAAGTGAGTCACACGACACGCGTACAGGCTGGATCAGCAAGTTTTCCGGGTCGTCCACGAAGTCGGCCGGTTGCGAGTGAAAAACAAGGACACATTCTCGTACGCCTCTCGTCGGAACGTAATCGTTAGTCGGGCCAAGCATAGATGGGTCTGTTACGCAACCCCTCGTTAGGCCATCGCGATGTATTTTCGTCATTGAAAAAACCGGTGCACCGTTCACTACACCATCCCATCCAACAATCGTCGAACAATTCGCCCCCCAAAAACCCCCATTTCATCGGTGTGAAAATCCCTTTTCCCTGCCACCTCATATTTTCCCCTAATCATTCAAACGTTGTGTCATACCCGAGGAATTGACGTACGCCGGGGGCAAGGACGCGATAAAACTCGCCAATCATCATCGTAAAACACGATGAATCCATCAATTCCAGCGCTGAAAGTCGCGAAAAATCCCAGACAAAATCTCCATTCCCGTTGAAAAATCCAACCGAAAAAAAATATCAAGTCAGACGAAAAAAATGAGTACGATTGCATCTCCCTTGATTTCCTTTTGGCACGCCATCACAATTTCGTCCTCGACACGTGGATCCCACCGCCAATTATACACGAATGCCATTATATATAGAAATGTAAACTCCCCAGTACCTCAGTCGTTCTTACTCCACTCGCCGATGAGTTTTATCATTAAAAAATCCGCAAAAATCACGAACCCAAACCCGTAAAAATCCAACATCAGGCCAAATTCTTCACCCCAGCCACAGAGTGATGGCGAAAAAATACAAAAAAAACTAACGTAGAAACCGCCCCCGTCAGCCCATCAGCACAAACCGACGGAATATACTTGGCATAGCCCTGGTCTCTCCGTATAAACGTCGATTGTGTAATAATCTTCTTGTTCTTCTTCTTCAACTCTGTCTCTCGCACGAATCGTCACAGTTTAACAAGCAGTGCGTCGCGTTACGCTTCCCCACGAGTCCTACAGTTTTTTTTTTTTTTTTTTTTTTTTTTTTTTTTTTTTTTTTTTTTTTTTTTTTTTTTTTTTTTTTTTTTTTTTTTTTTTTTTTTTTTTTTTTTTTTTTTTTTTTTTTTTTTTTTTTTTTTTTTTTTTTTTTTTTTTTTTTTTTTTTTTTTTTTTTTTTTTTTTTTTTTTTTTTTTTTTTTTTTTTTTTTTTTTTTTTTTTTTTTTTTTTTTTTTTTTTTTTTTTTTTTTTTTTTTTTTTTTTTTTTTTTTTTTTTTTTTTTTTTTTTTTTTTTTTTTTTTTTTTTTTTTTTTTTTTTTTTTTTTTTTTTTTTTTTTTTTTTTTTTTTTTTTTTTTTTTTTTTTTTTTTTTTTTTTTTTTTTTTTTTTTTTTTTTTTTTTTTTTTTTTTTTTTTTTTTTTTTTTTTTTTTTTTTTTTTTTTTTTTTTTTTTTTTTTTTTTTTTTTTTTTTTTTTTTTTTTTTTTTTTTTTTTTTTTTTTTTTTTTTTTTTTTTTTTTTTTTTTTTTTTTTTTTTTTTTTTTTTTTTTTTTTTTTTTTTTTTTTTTTTTTTTTTTTTTTTTTTTTTTTTTTTTTTTTTTTTTTTTTTTTTTTTTTTTTTTTTTTTTTTTTTTTTTTTTTTTTTTTTTTTTTTTTTTTTTTTTTTTTTTTTTTTTTTTTTTTTTTTTTTTTTTTTTTTTTTTTTTTTTTTTTTTTTTTTTTTTTTTTTTTTTTTTTTTTTTTTTTTTTTTTTTTTTTTTTTTTTTTTTTTTTTTTTTTTTTTTTTTTTTTTTTTTTTTTTTTTTTTTTTTTTTTTTTTTTTTTTTTTTTTTTTTTTTTTTTTTTTTTTTTTTTTTTTTTTTTTTTTTTTTTTTTTTTTTTTTTTTTTTTTTTTTTTTTTTTTTTTTTTTTTTTTTTTTTTTTTTTTTTTTTTTTTTTTTTTTTTTTTTTTCACCAACACATATAACGCGGGTTAGCACCCACCAACAGACTGGTGGGTACGCTTCCCCGGGAGCGTAACCAACTCTCGGTTTTAACTCATTCCTAGCTATTGCTAGAACAACTAGTATTCACCCAGCCGTCGTGTTGCTGGGACGCTCGCGGCTCTATTCAAATCAAAGCTGTATAATAACTAGAAGACAAATGCTTAACCAGCATGCGATCAATTTTCAAAAAGGATAACGTCGACGAGGAATAGCCGGGAATAAGTGAGGAACAAGTGGTAAATTCACAGCTGAGGAGGGGAGGGAAAGACTGCTGGAAATGTGTTGAGTTTAACGTTTTTAAAAATCGGTGAATATTTATTCGGTGATAGATTAAATACGAGTAAAATCGGCCATTTTAGCATCCACTGGCAACGAGTTAATCGAGGTTGTAGACGCATTCGAGAGGGGATAGTGCATATAAATGACGCGGGGAGAGGAGATACCGACTGTTTAAGGAGGGGTATTAGGAGGGAAACACGAGAGAGACTGCAATACGCGGGCTATTATTAGTGCATCGAGGATGTGTCTCGTTCTCTTTTTACCGAGCCCTGGGCGCAACCGAGTCGCGGTCAACGATTATTGGGTGGGAATAGACGGTATTTTATTTAGTACAGTCCGATCGTCCAGGGGATTTTAATCCACCCGAGGGCTCAACAATAACTCGCGAAATCGTTGAAATGTTGGCGATTTTCATTCGCGTTTTTTAATGTAGCGATATGTCGAGCTGTTGCGATATTGTTTTTGAGAAATCGCGGGTAATTATTCCAACGAAAACAATAAATACAAGCGCTGTTGTCAGTACGCGGCGATCAGCTGACTCCGCGGTTGGTCGTCTCAATGGAACAGCTGATCGCGTTTCTTTGACATTGCACAGGGCCAGTGAAAAATTGAGTGATCACGACGGTTTTAACGGTAGATAGCGCATTGTGAAGTTGAAATAATATTTGAACATTTTAGTTTGATTCAGGATGAATTGAGGACGAGGTTATACCGTGGGAGTGTACTGCCGGAAGCTAAATTACACTGTCATTTGAGAGTGAGAGGGATTGAATGGAGAGAAATAATGTTATAGGAAATGTTGGGGCAGTTGGGGCTCGTGCCAGATGCGCGTTTACACGGGCCCTGAATACTGTAAATGCACTATCTGGTACGACATCTCTTCTGTCATCGTCACCGTTTGCAATCGCGTCTGACTTGAGACACATCAATGCTCCTCAGGAGTTTAATCCTTCTGCTCCCATTTCCCCTCATTCGTTGCTCTGACTTGTGAGGGGAGGAATTGTCCTTGCCCCGACACCTTGCCGATCACTTTCCTCGCGATTTTTGTTCGCCATCGAATAAGCTTTCCACCTGCTCAAGGCCATGTTTTTTTTTTCTTGTCATTGCTCTCATTGGCGGTTTAATGCTTAGACCGAGGCATTGTCATTTAGATTGTTGTCTTTTATTTTGTCATATTTTTAATCTAGGTTTAAGGATGTATCTGTAAGGCGTTAAATAGGTTGACATTGTTCCCCTCGCACATGGAGGAAGATTCTAGTCTTCGGCTTGATGATCAGTCGACAGGATGAACAGCTGGGAATGCAGTCGCTGTTGGCAATGGAACGTTCTACTGTGATTATGTAATAATAATAAAGCTCATGTGATCAATCTCTATCATTTCATTTCACCCGCTTTTGTGTATGTGCTTTTGATTATTCATGGAAGTTCTCTCGGGAATTTTTTCCATTTTTTGGCTCAATTCTCGTAGATCATCTGTTGCAAATACTTTAGACGAATGATTTTTATGAAAAAAAAATAATAAAAAAGAAGAGGAAGTCTGTTCAGAGATGATGATTCTGTGTTGTTTCTCCCCGGGATGTGGAAAATTTGGGGTTCCGGCTGACGACAGAGGTTTCCACTCAAATCTTGAACATTTCATAATCACAATCAACTCCAAGTTATTTCATTCTTCACAATAAATCGCAACATTCTCTTGAGTACAAGTATTGTCTGAGTAAAATCGCTATTCAGTATCGAATAATTTGTGTCATTTATCTGAATCCTCGATCCAATTTCCCCCCTCCCCCAAAGAAAAACTTGATGAACCGTTTCTCACGGTGAGATACCATCCGAGGAGGAGAAACTGACAAAAATAAATCGAGTAGCGCTCGCCAATCAAACTGGGAGATTCACCGTTTGGCAGGTGAACCGGAAGCCAAAAGCCCTGGCATACCTTGAGAATACACGAATAAGAAGATTGCACTGGGATGCCAATTGGGTCCTTCAGTCGAGTAAATCTCCTCAGCAACGTCTTTCTTATCTCAAGTTATCCGAGTTTTGACAGTGACTTAAAACAAAAAAAAAACTATACGATTGTAATGAGAGAACGAACAACTGATGGAGACGAAATGAAAACGCTGGATGACAGCCGCCCGTCCTGTTGTGAATCTCGAAGACAGTGATGATTATTCGGTCCTCAATGGCGACCGGCGTGCTGGCAGTGTGGTTAGCTGGTTGTGTGATTCCCAACCAAAACACGACCGCTATCGACACTGCATTTACGACGGTCGCATTAAGCACAACCACGTTCGTGATGCTAAAAAAAATGCCATCGCATTCACCAATTGCCACTTTTTTTCCCGATTACAACACGTACGTGTAATCGAAGAGGATCAAGATCAATCTTTGCACTAGTTTCATGGCAAAAGTAACAATACATTCCGATATTATGATTATGCTGTTATGTATGAGTGATGCATTGGCAAGAGGTAGTTTATCCGAACGTTGATATTGTTAACAATTCCCTTTCCATTCGTCGTTGAACACTCGGTTGTGCTGTCGAATCGGCAAAATCACAGGATAATAATGTTTCATTCTCTTATTGCAGATCTGCATACGTGTCCTTCGGTGGCCTTCTCATGAGGCTGCAAGGTGACGCCAACAATCTACATGGATTCGAGATCGACCAGCACATGTACCTGTTAATGAAGAAACTAGCCTTTTAAAGTCATCTATTTTTAATTGAGGAATAAATCATTTTCACGGGAGGGGAAATCTGCTCGGGCTCTATTGGGCTTGAAAACATGAATTCAGAACGTGTACTGTTTTTCAGACATTGTGAATGCACCGCTCATAATAAAAAATGAGGAGGCGTTTCAAGGGCGAATCAAAGTGTGCACTCTGCATTTCGAAAGAATAATGCAGAGTTGATGACCACACCATCGATTTGCCCTGGTTATGAGTTTTTGTATTAAAGTTTCATGATTCCTAGCCATTCCGTAATTGTGAATTGTTAGGGGGGGGGGG